CGCGCCGTGTCAACATTGGCGCGGCTTTTAAATGCCGCGCCTTCTAGCGCCTTTTCCCCTGCGTGTGGCAGGGCCCCATGTAGGTCAGTGGTGGTGAACCTATGGCACGCGTGCCAAAGGCGGCATTCAGAGCCCTCTCAGTGGGCACACGTGCCATCGCCCCAGCCAGGGCCCAAACCATCATTAAAGTGTGGAATTCTCTGCCAAATAATTGTAAGTAAATGAAAGCATTTGGGATTGCTTTCCTTACTTTGTTTGGATCATCTTATGTTAATGTATGAGTTGTTTTTTCTAAAGTAAAACCTCAGTATTCAGGTTAAATTGCCGTGTTGGCACTTTGCGATAAATAAGTGGGTTTTGGGTCGCAGTTTGGGCACTCGGTCTCTAAAAGGTTCGCCATCACTGATGTAGGTGAACCTCAAGTGACATCAAGGCTCAGTTGAGTTTATTTCGTTATAAAAACAGTTTAAACCCTTGCCAAGTACAGTAGTAGGATCAGCAAATAAATTTAAAGGTGTCATTATAGTCCAGCCTCGTTTAATTCTTTTTCCCCAACATCACATATGCTGTATGCCCTCATTCAAAATGTTGCAATGTTGCAAGTTATTTCTGAACAAAGGAGAGAAGCATCAGTCTCTACTAGACCTCTATCAAGGGTGGAGAAATTTACCTTCCAGGCAGAATGCTCCCAAATGCCTCCCATGGATAAAACCACAAATCAAACAAGAGAGGAAGACTCCACTGCGAACCCTTTAGACGAAGGCCCCAAAGAACATTAAGGCTTGCACTGCATGTCTGGAGTAGGAATGGACTGGCCATTTAACTTTCAGGGAAATTTGCTGGGAGGCTGCTGTCCCAGAGAAGCACTGGTGGCTAGGAGTGAGCAGAGCCAAGCCCCAGCAATTCTGCCAAAGCCTCAAGGACCACTTGGTTCAGCACCTTTAACAGCAAATGACAATATCGCCTCACCGATAACCTTCTCCTGCACTGGTAATGGATGATCCAATGCCAATAGCTGATGAAGCAGAGCTGAGTGGCCTTGCAGCCACTGGCTTATAGCACAGGAAAGGGCCACTTGGCTTGGTCTAGGACAATTTTAACTTCCCCATCTGCCCCTACATTCCTGCAGTGTTTCATGAGGTGCTAGAACAGGCATGTCCAGCAAAGATTTGGACAAGTCTACCCAGATTTCTGGGCAACTGGAACCACCTTGTGCCAAAGTCCACCAAAACCACCTGTAGCGGAACTCAGAGGTTTTGCCTGTCTATTCAAAAGTTTCATTTCCCAGACTCCTTTCACTATTGCTAAGAACGGTTCCCCAGAATAACGTTCTGCATCTTCCAGTCCCTCCCCGGTCTCCACCCAATCCATGCCATTGACTCCTTGTAAAGGAATAATAGTTTCTCACCAGTTTAGAGAAAGTGGTGCAAATACAGGTGTCTATAAATATTTCCACCCCCAAGGCCTACTAGAGACATTCCCATTTTGCCTGAACAGAAGAACATAAGGAGTCCATATTGAAAACTGGCCCTTTATCCTGTTCCTGACTGGAAGAGGAGACATTTTTGCTCTGTGTATGTTAAGTACTGTCAAGTTGCTTCCAACTTTATGGGGACCCTATGCAGAGCTCTTTTTGTAGAAAAAGCCCAGCAGGAACTCATTAGCATAATAGGCCACACCCAACAGCAGGAACTCATTAGCATATTGGGCCACACCCCTGCCAGCACAGCTCATTACCGCATTAGGCTGCACCCTCATGTTACCAGAAGTGTGGTTATCCAGCCACATCCACCTTTTGCTTCTTATTCTGTTTACCTTGTTTGTTGTCAAAACCCAGGGCTTTTTTGTAGCAGGAACTCCTTTGCATGTTAGGCCACACACCCCTAATGTAGCCAATCCTAATGAGTTTCTGCTGTTGGGTGTGGCCTATTATGCTAATGAGTTCCTGCTGGGCGTGGCCAACTCAGGAGCCAGCCGGAACTCCATTCCCTGTGCGTTCCTTTCCAAAAATAGCCCTGACCCTATGTATTAACAACCTCCAAAATGCACCATTGAGACCATGAAAACCATCCTAAATGCTTCAGAGTGAGGACAGGATGCACGTTGATCGTGACAAAACTGGAGCCCGACATATGGGCAGTTCTGTTGACACAGGCTAGAGCTCTGAAATTCACAAGAACGATCACGTGAAGTTTGCTCTTTTTCTCAGATGTTCTCAGTGTGAAACGACTGAACTTTAACCTGCAGAGGCAGAAGTGGCAAAGAGTCTACTGGCAGGCAGAGACACGAATATTATTTACATAACTAAATTTGGTGGTGGAAAGAGCCATCCAGTTGCTGCTAGCAGCAACCCCACTGGGTTTTCAAGATAAGGGACCTTCAGAGGTGGTTTGCCATTGCCTGCCCCTGTGTAGCAGCCCTGGACTTCCTTGGTGGTCTCCCATCCAACCAGGGCGAACCCTGCTTAGTTTCCAAGATCTGATGAGATCAGGCTAGCCTGGGCCATCCAGGTCAGGGATCTTAATATTTAGCCTACCTATAACCAGTGTTCCTTCTAAGCTGAGTTAGTGTGAGCTTGCTCACAGTTTTTTCGCCTCCAGCTCACACATTTTTGCCTCCGCTCAGGAAGGATGGCTCCAGAGCAAACGAATGTATACAGAAGCCAAATGGCTCGCTCACAACTTTAATGTCAGTAGCTCGCAAAGTAGAGTTTCTGCTCACAAGGCTGCACAGCTTAGAGGGAGCATCGCCTATAACAAACATCTAAGGTCGACATTTTAATATGTTCAGGAGAAGTAGAGATGGATAAGGCCTGTTAAAGAAAGGAAGCTTTTCTCCCTCAGTCGCCTTCCATGACAGGAAAAACTTCACCTGTTCAGTTTCTGATAGGGAACAGCAACAGCTGAACATTTGGCAACTCTTTGAAAACCATACATCAAGATAGATCAAGGAATTATTGAGGCCCTGATAGGAATACCATGATCTATTAGGGCACACTTTAAGTTTATTGTTGTGGCACCCTAGATTTGGAGTACCTTCCCAGAGAGGCCAGCAAAAGCCCTGCCTTTATATGCTTTTTGAAAGCAAATGAAAACCTCTTAGGATAAAGCAAACATTTACAACCATTTTATAGTTATAATTGGAAAGATTATTTACTATTTTTTTAAAATGGATATAGCTTATTTTTATTGTGTTTTTGCATCTTCTTGATTTTTGTTAGCCTACTTGATTGGCATTTAGAGAGAAAAGGTTGGGTTACCATTCTTTTCTAAAAGCATCTTAGATACCTATGAGTTTTCTACATATCCTAGTTTTGTCCCATCCTTCCATTGTACATGGGTCTTCCATCCTTCATTTTATCTTCACAACATTCCAGAGTAGTAGGCTTGGCTGAGAGAGAATGATTGGCCCACGGGCACCCAGTGAACACCATGGATAAGTGATTATTTGAACCCAGGTCCGCCTGTACACACACACACACACACACACACACGAATCTGCCTTACTGAATCAGACCATTGGTCCATTAAGGTTAGTTTTGTCTACTCAGACTAGCAGTGCCTCTCCAGAGTCTCAGGCGGAGGTCTTTCATATCACCTACTGCCTGGTCCTTTTTATTGGAAATGCCAGGGATTGAACCTGCGATCTACTGCATGCCAAACAGATGCTCTACCACTGAGCCACAACCCCTGCCCACTGAGCCTGGCCCTAATCCAGCATTCTAACCATTATCTCTCAAGTTTGCCTGTCTTGGGCCTATCTGACTCTGTTATGCTATATGGTGTTTTGATCCAATAGATTCACCTACTTTCCTTGAACCCTTAAGGATACAGCTTCATAACCACATACAAAACTTCTTCCTTCAAGACATATCCCTGTATCCCAAGCCTATATTAGTTTTACAGTACTTTAACAATGCAATCCTAAACAGATTTAGACCCTTCTAATTCCATTGAAGTTAACAGGCTTTGAAGGGTGTAACTCTGTTAAGGATTGGCACTGTGAGTTTCCTAACTTTCCTCACAAAATTTTGATAATTGTAGTATGGGAGTGCTGAGAATTCTCTGCAAGACACCAGTTAGGCATTATGCTGACAGGCAAGATGGAATTAGATATGACTCATTTAAACAAGAGTCCTCCCTCCTCAGCTACTATATGTGCAATGTGAGCATGCCAGAGATCCACAGCTCAGCTGTACACTGTATTGGTGGGCTGATGGGATTGCGTGTTTAGCAACACGGTTGAAACAAGATGAAGAGTAGCTTTTTATACCACACTTTTCTGTACCCTAAGGAGTCTCAGAGTGGCTTACAATTGCCTTCCCTTCCTCTCCCCACAACAGGCACCTTGTGAGGTAAGTGGGACTGAGAGAGCTCTGAGAGAACTGCTCTTGAGAGAACAGCTCTGAGAGAACTCTGACTGACCCAAGGTCACCCAGCTGGCTTCATGGGGTGGAGTGGGGAATGAAGCCCGGTCCGCCTCTCTTAACCACTACACCACACTGGCTCTTAACCATTAGACCATGCCGATGTGCCACACGGCTTAGTTTGAACACATGAAGCTGCCTTCTACTGACTCAGGCCTTCTGTCTATCAAGGTGAGTGTTGTCTACTCTGAGAAGCAGCACTTCTCCAAGGCATGATGAGCAGTCTTTGCACATTGCCTATGACTAGCTAGTGATGCCAGAGATTGAACGGTGGACCTTCTACAATAATAAACAGACATTCTACTACTGACAGCTTCCCCCCCCCAGTTCTTGTTGCCCATCAGCACTATGTCTAAATCAGGCCTCAGAGGCCTCAACATCCCCCCCCCCCCCCGCACACACACACACAGAACCTCAGTTCCTTGAAGGAAGAGAGGGATTAGTGAAGCGGATTAAGTCTGTGGCGTTGACATGCTCACATGCACCACTCAACCATAATACTCCATTATGTGGGAGATATAAAAATGCTTCAGTCCAGCCTAAAAGCCTGTTTGATTCAGCCGAATAAACTTACCAAAGTAGACCGGCTTTCCGCACATAGGGCAATATGAAATCATTGTTCGTCTTCCCTCAGGCACTGCTTAAGAGTCGGCACTGTTAGAATAAGCAGCTTTCTGTTCACCGGGAGTGACAAGAAAACCATGGCTGGGGCACAGCGGCAGTTGTACACCTTCTGCTTTTTGACTCAGGATGTTGTGGTTGTTTTCAAGTGAACAAGTACGCTGACGTATAGCAGCAGGGGAGTGAATGAAGGATTTCCTGTTTATGAAGGTACTGCCTCAAGTTCAGGACCCAGTTTTGTGATTCCCCAGGGCTCCTGACCAATTTTTCTCCTCAGACAGGCCCCCTGGGATACCCAGCATCCTATTTCAGTGTGCCAGCCATTCCTACAGCTCACTGTATAGATTCGTATTTATTTCAGTTTATTCAGCATTATGACACGGCCTGGCTCTCCCATTGGGTGTGCAACTGGAGAGGCGAGAACAAAGTTGAGGGTATCAGAGAAGAAGGAAGGACTGACTATGCAAACAGACTATGCATTTTCTTCTCAGAGAAGTCATAACTGACAATTGAGACCACTGAGCATTGAAGTCAATGCATGGAGGAGAATGCGCATCCTGGCCGTCCCCTGATCTATGTGAGATCGGCAGAACGGGAGCATGCCATACTCACAGTCCAGCAATCTGATGTAGGTGGGAGGATAATGCGGCATGCTCCCCCTTTACATGCTTTAATTTCCAGCAAAACCAGCAAGGTAATGAGTTACCTTAAAGGAGACCTATACAAGTTGTGACACCCCGCCCTCACCACAAGTGTATATTTTGGCCTGTCTGGTGTTTGACAAGGCCTCTCCTAGGGTCGCTAGCCTTCAGGTGGTAACCCAAAAAACAAACAAGGACCCACGGTGGGAATAAACAGCAACAAAAATATAAACACACCATGCCACACAAAAAAATTCAGCACTTCCCTTTTAAGCACTTGTCCCAAGAGTAGTAGTAATTATGTAAATATCCAAAACACAGTTATATGCCAGGTTTAGTAATTGTTATGTAAATATCCAGAGTTCAGTTACTTAATTAACATTCCATAAACCATTCAATGAAACGCAAGAAGAACAGACCGATGTGTATACTGTATCAGTCGAAATACTCTGTTATAAACCCAAATAAAGACTGTGTCTTTATGACAGCTTTTTATTCCTCCATAGTTGTAGGTGCTTGGGCCGGGTCTCATGGATGTCCGGTTGTGACCTCGTTTCAATGTAAATCTTCATCGGAGACAGCCACAATGCAACTCAACAATCTGGAACTGCACCTGCCAAAGTTCCCTCTAAGCTATGGAGCCCTGTGAGCAAAAATTCTACTTTTACTTTGTGAGCTATTGGCATTAAAGTTGTGACCAGGAGATTTGGCTGCTGCATAAATTAGTTTGTTCTGGAGCCCTCCCTCCTGAGCTAAGACAAAAATGTGTGAGCCGGAGGCTAAAAAACTGTGAGCTAGCTCACACTAACTCAGTTTAGAGGGAACACTGGCACCTGCTGAATTCTTTTTCTAAACTGCAAAAGACTCTTTCTCAAGGATGAAACTCCTCAGTCAGAGAGCCCTGACTGGTTCTTGACTCTCGTGAGTTACTTGATTTATATCGAAACAAGGTTGCAGCTGGATGTCCGTGTGAGACTCAGCCCAAGAACCTACAACTACGGAGGAATAACAAGCTTTCATTAGGACACAGTCTTTATTTGGGATTATAACAGAGGATTTTGACTGATATTACTGTACACACAGAACCTCAGTTCCTTGAACTCCAGATCTTGTGGAATTCTTCTCGGCTTGATCCTCGGCTTTTGACCTTTGGCTTTGTTGACCCTGCGTTCATCTCTGACTCCTCTGGTATTGTTGTGATTTATGGACTTGAAACTTTGGTATGTCTGACCCTGCTTTTGGACTGTGATTTAAACCTGCTTGAACCTTGCTACCTGATTTGCCCGGCTTGACCTCGGACTGTTCCTGGACTTTTGCTTGCTTGTGTCACGCCCCCTGGTCCTGCCGTGACAGATTGCCAGCACCCACAACGCTCACACATCCCCACCATGGAAGACGGAGCAACTGGAGGTGTGGACCCCATGGAGGAAATGCTAGCACAGGTACAGCACTTAATTCAAGCTGTGATTGCTTTGCAACAACAGGCTGCTACAAATGCTGTTGCTGTAGCAAATGCTGGTACACCTCCCCCACGTTGCCCAATAAATCCTCCTGATCGTTTCGGTGGGAATGTTGATGAGTTCCAGGCATTCCTTGCCCAATGTAATCTGTATATTGAGCTCAGGGCTCGGGATTTTGTTTCTGAGAAGGCTAAAGTTTGTTTCATTTTAAGCCTCCTTAAAGGGCAAGCTGCCAAATGGGCCACGCCCTTGCTGGTGGGGAATTCTCCCTTACTATCTGACTTCCAGGCTTTCAAGGCTCATTTTGCCGCTGCTTATGCCAATCCTGTGAAAGCTGAAACAGCTAACCGCAAAATAAGGGCTCTTACTCAGCATAAAACCTCTGTCGCTCAGTACACCAATGAGTTCCAGCTGCTGGCTCAAGACCTGACATGGAATGAGGCAGCGTTTATTGACCAGTATACTGAAGGGCTGTCTGACGAAATTCTAGATGAACTTGCACGCAGTGAACGCCCTGACACTTTACAAGCCCTCATCCATCTCTGTCTCCGCATTGATGGGAGGTTACAGAGCCGCCGCCAAAACAGAAAAAAGGCTCTCGCCTTCCCCAGCAGAACCCTTCAGACCTTCCACCGGCCTTCCTCCCCCGGCTCCTCTCCACCTCCTGCAGGCACAGAGCCCATGCAACTTGGCACCGCTCGGCCCCGCCTTACTTCTGAGGAGAAGCTGAGACGGCGCACTCAACAGCTGTGTCTGTATTGTGGAGAAGCCGGGCATTTTGCCTCCAGCTGCCCTGCCAAGCAGAAGCGCTCACCACAACCGGCTCCACCGGTAAAAGAGCAGCCCCAAGCCTGACCGGACCCCCCGGTTTGGGGCCTATTCTGGGGTCCTCCAGTACTCCATACTCACCACAGACTCCCTTCCTGGTGCCAGTGCGGTTGCAACTCCCAGACAACCGCTGGCTCTTCATCCACGCCATGTTGGACTCAGGGGCCGCCTGTTGTTTCATGGACATTCTTTTTGCCAAAGAACACGGCGTTCCCCTTCAAGAGAAGGCAACCCCAGCGCTTGTAGAAGCCATTGATGGACGCCTGCTCCGCTCCGGACCCGTCGTCCAAGAAACCCAGCCACTCACCTTGTGGATACAGCAGCACCAGGAACAAATAACTTTCGACTTGGTGAGGATGCCGAGGTTTCCAGTCATCCTGGGTCTCTCCTGGCTGCGCCACAACAACCCTCAGGTAGACTGGGTACATCAGGAGCTCCAGTTCGGCACCAGTCCTGCACCCACGCCTTCCGTGGAAACGATGGTAGACACCCCGTCTTCAGCACCATCGCCAGAACCATCACCAGCTGCTTTGCTGCTGGGCGCTGCGGCTCCCGCTTTACCTGCCACCTATCAGGACTATGCAGACGTCTTTGACGAAAAGGAGGCAGACCAGCTACCCCCGCATCGGCCCTACGACTGTGCCATCAACCTCATCCCCGACGCTCCGTTACCCTCAGGCCGCCTTTACCCAATGGCAGAACCGGAGCTGGCTGCGCTGAGGGACTATTTGGACAAAAATCTGGCCAGAGGGTTTATTCGGCCCTCTACGTCTCCTCTGTCTTCCCCAGTCCTCTTTGTGAAAAAGAAGACAGGAGACCTCAGGCTCTGCAATGACTACAGGGCCCTGAACAAAATCACCATACGGGATAGGTACCCCCTCCCGTTGATCCCTGAGCTCATGGACCGTTTGCGGGGAGCTCAAATCTACACAAAGCTAGACCTGCGTGGCGCCTACAACCTGGTGAGAATCAAGGCAGGAGATGAATGGAAGACCGCCTTTGGTACCCGCTATGGCCAATATGAGCACTTGGTCATGCCCTTTGGCTTGACCAACGCCCCTGCAGTGTTCCAACGCTTTATGAATGACATCTTCCGTGACCTCCTCGACCGCTTCGTGGTAATTTATTTAGATGACATCCTGATCTTTTCCGCCACCGTGCCTCAACACATTGACCACGTAAGGCAAGTGTTGCACCGCCTGCGCACCCATGGACTCTATGCGAAACTAGAAAAATGCGAGTTTCATCGTAAGTCTGTTGAGTTCCTGGGGCATATTATCTCCCCTGAAGGCACGCTGATGGACCCCAAGAAGGTGGAAGCCATTCTCCAATGGCAGCCTCCCCAAAACCGGAAGGATGTTCAACGCCTCCTGGGGTTCTCCAACTACTACCGCCAATTTATACCCGCCTATGCCGACCTCACCAAGCCTCTGACCCGTCTCCTTCGCCTGAAGGAACCCTTCCGATGGACCCCGGAAGCTGACCAAGCCTTCGCCATTTTGAAGCAACGTTTTGCGACCGGCCCCCTCCTGCGATACCCTGACCCGAACCTTCCTTTTGTAGTGGAAGCTGATGCCTCTAGTGTGGCCTTAGGGGCCGTTCTATCCCAGAGAGCGGATCCCTCTCAGCCGTTGCAACCCTGTGCCTATTACTCCCGGCAACTCTCCTCAGCCGAACAGAACTACACCATCTGGGAAAGAGAGTTACTGGCCATCAAGACCGCCTTCGAGGTTTGGCGTCATCACCTCGAAGGGGCCCGTCATCCAGTACAGGTACTCACAGACCATCGCAACTTGGAGCACCTCCAAACCACTCGCCGGTTGAACCAGCGCCAGATTCGTTGGTCCCTCTTTTTCTCGCGGTTCAACTTCACGATTTCCTACATTCCACAGACGCAAAACCAAAAAGCCGACGCTCTGTCCCGCAAACCGGAATATACCCCAACGTCGAAAACGGAAGCACCTGACACCAGTATCCTACCACCTAACGTTTTCGCCGCAGCTCCCGAACCTGCATCCCTCGCTGAGGACATTCGGGCCAGTCAGGCTACAGACCCTTGGGCTCAACAACGCCTTCAGGAGGTACAACAAGGGGATTCCAAAGACCTAACGGTCAAAGACGGCGTACTCTATCATCGGGACCGGGTCTATGTTCCTCCCGGACCCCTGCG